AGCCGAAATAAAAAATAAAGGTGATGTTACCCAATGGTAATCTTTCAATTATTGCTTTGTTAACTTCGCGCATTTATTCGCACATTGTTTATTTGTTCAGATGTTCTATTAGTTATAGGTCTAAGTGATTTCAAATATGTATTTTTTACGACTAGAGTGTATCTAAAATGTTTTTGAGAAAATAAATTGTTTTAGAAGTAAATAGTTTCTTCATGTTTAGTTTATAAAGGCATATTTTGGTACAAATCTTGAAGTGGGCCAACTGAAGTGGGAAGGGGCTCGTATATCACGAAAAACCATGTCACGCATTTCTGTGATTATCATCATCATTATTATCATTACTACGATTATCATTCTCATTGTCATTTTTATTACTGTTATAACGTATGTTCTAAAAGTTTTGGGACAAAATTCGTCGGCTTTACTTTTAACAAACACAAAATAATAGCAAGTTGCCTTTGGAAACAAAAGTTCGTTTATTTACTTTACTGTCAGTTGAAATTTATTTATTTTGAAGTTTTCGCTTTAAGATGTCGTATAAATTAGAAATAATAAAGTATCTACCTATCTACAAGTTTTTTGGGCGGGTACCCAAAGCTGAAATCTGTCGAATATCTCAGTATGAAAACATTTCACGCAGAATCATTTATCGAACAATAGCGGGTGCGAGCAGGGAGTACCATGTCTGAATCTCCTAAAAAGTGGAAGACCATTTGCATTTTCTGCACAGAAGTCAGAGATATTGGTGAGAATAGCAAAAAATTAGGATGGAATGTCAACAAGGAGACTGGCTCGTCAATGCAGATCTTCTAAGAGTACCTTTATCGTTGGAATTGAGGAGGAATGGTTCAAGTATCGAAAGAGTGTGGCCCAAAGTATTTCACTTACAAGTAATTCTGAAATGAAGGGAAACGACGGATTTAATACGAACAACGTTGAGAAATGGCCTGATAATGTCAGATACAAATATAAAGCGGAATTTGCAGATAAAATCCTTGTCTGGTGCACAATTTCTAACAGGCGTGTATCCCAACCTTTTGTGGGAAGAGTGACGGGTGAAGCTTTGAATAGTCAGAGCTATATTGATAACTGCTTTTCCAAATTGCTTCAGTTTGACCACGAACATCATGCTAATGACCGTATCATGTTTTGGACAGACCTAGCATCATGCCATTAATCAAGAGATACCCAAAACTGGCTTCGACAACACAACATACTTTTTCTTCCCAAAAATGATAGTCCTGCAAACTTGCCGTAGGCTCGCACAATAGAGGATGTTTGGGCTTTACTGCCTAGGAAGGCGTATTATTTAGGTTGTGAAGCCCAAGATGAAGAACAATTAAGACGGCGAATTTACGAAAAACTGAGAGAAATTGATCTGAATTCCGTCCAGAACCTCACGAGAGACATTCGAAGAAAGGTGCGTCTCGTAGAGTAGAATGGGCTACTCCACATAATTCGATGGTATAGTTTAGTTAAGTATTGAGTTGTAATGATAATTAGTTAGTGCTTAAATGCATTTCTTCATTAAAAAAAATCCGATAAATATTTTGTGCCAAAACTTTTAAGACATACGTTACATGTTTGTAGCTAACTTTTTTCTCAGAGGAGCTAACTTGTACCGAACATAATTCTTTATGAACTGATGACAGCTTAGCTTGGAAAGTACAGAGACAACCTACTTGTCGCATTTTTTTTCAAGAATAGAGTAACACACAGGATGTTAATTAAGTATGTACCATAAATTTAACAGACGTTTCTTTGAATAATTTTAAGACCGAAAGTTCATATAATCATAGGTCCGCAAATTCTTCGTTCTCAAGATACAGGGTATTAAAATTAAAAAAAAAATGCTTTTCGTAAATATCTTCAATATCCTATGATTTTGTTGTAATTTGGCGGTGGTATTTATAGCATTAAGGAGCTAATTTAGCCCTGACTTGATTAAATTTATCAAGTCTATTGGCGTCTCCAGCAGGATCTGAATGAATATTTGTGACAAAAAAATTGTACGCCACTGACTATTGCGCAAGTTTTCTCATGTTCTTTAGATTAAGCAAATAGAAATACATATTTTTTGTCTATTGACTTTTTTTCCTATCTTGCTTAGTTATCGAGAAAAAAAGTCCACTTAATTGCATATCCCTGGACCATACAAGGAATATGGGGAAAAGTTTCTTTTGGAAATTATTTTTTTCATAATTTTTTATTACTAATCATGTAACAACAGCAACAAATTCTAAATAACACTAAATTAAGTGTTGGAAATAGTCCCCTTCGGCTTCAATACAACCGTCTAGCCGCCTCGTCATTGAATTACGCACTCTTTTCAAAATACCTGGCGTATTTTTTATTGTCACATGAACTTATGATTCTATTCCGTAAATCCACTTCACTTTGAATAGAAGTTTTGTATACCAACGCTTTAAGGTGTCTCCAGAGAAAATATGGTAATCTTAAGGGACTCATATCGAGCGAGCGAGGGGGCCATAGGTGCTGCTCTCCCACCACCGATTATGGTAATTTTCATCCAAAAATTGCCGCGCCACTACACTACAGTGTGGTGAAGCCCCGCCTTAGGGGTATTCCGATCCACGAAAAATATCGATACCATGTATCGATTCGTATCCCTTTGGGAAGTATCGATACTTCAAAATATCGGAACAAAAATATCGTTTTTTCAGCCCTCAGAATAGTGTTTACTTTTTTCATCTGCGTGACTAGATTGTTCACTAATAAAAAATAGGTGAAAAACCTCGCAACTGCATAACTTACATTTCTCGCCTAAACTCGATTTTACAAAAAGGCTCCGCAAATCACTATCACGATAATGTTTTGTTTCAAACTAACTTCAATCAATCAGTACTAAAACCACTGTGTCATGTGTGTGTAATTCCCCGAAACCGAATCCAACAGGGTTGCCAGGTCCCTTAGCTGAGTTTCCCCAGTCGAAATGTAAAAATACCCTAAATTCAGGACTTTTTTAAAAAAATGCCAAAAAATATCATTTATTTTTTGTTACCATAGGTTTACGATTTGTTAGGTATTCCTGGATCCTCAAATATTTTTTTTGAGCGACATGTTTTTAGTATGTCGCTAAATACCCCGAAAGATAAAAGCATTTGTTTCGAATCTAAAGACAAATAAATACACAACAAGTTCGTACATTATGTAATCTCATTAATAAAATTTTACATAATGACACCTCCCCAGTCAAATCTGTTTCCCCAACAGAAATCCTCAGAAAAAAGTCCCCTGATGGGGAAAACCTCCTAATATGGCAACCCTGGAATCCAAAATAAATTATGTGAGGTTGTGGAAGGAAACAAAGAAGAAAAGTAATCTGAAGTTAGTCACTCTTTGTGACCCTGTTCTGATCGAAAGATGACGATACTCGTGAAGTGTATCGATACACCCAAGTATCGAATAAAAATATCTAACCAAAATATCGGGTATCGGAAGCAAAAGTATCGATACTTCTAAATATCGGATCGTATCGAACATCCCTACCCCGTCGTGCATTACCACATATGGAATCTTTCCATGACTGAAACTTCCAAGTCCAGGTAAAACGAATTCTAAAAACCTTCGGTGTTCATTAAGTCTGGGTGGAAGAAAATGAGTCCCAATGAGATGACCACGTCACCGACAATTCCAACCCAAATATTGAAACTTCCTGAAAATCATGTTCTATTAAGGTGTGTGGATTGTTTTCGGCCCAAATCTGATTGTTGTGGAAGCTAATAATTGAATTGCGACGTAGAAAATCGGAAAATAAACGAGCTTTTAGAAAGTACAAATTTAATCTGTAGCGTACAAAAACCAAAACAAAATATGGCTCTGTCTACCTAGCATTGACGGATCCATCAGAATTATGTATCCTTTGCCGATATGGGGAATTTTTAAATATTACTAGATTACCAGTCATAATAGGCTGCTGGACTCTCAAAATCTGTTACACTGCGACATGGGTAATATTCAGATCTTCAGCTATTTTCCGAGTACTGGTATGAGGATTTGCTTCATTTTCATTTAAAACAGCTTCTTCAATTTGAACTGTTCGTACCGTTGCAGGCCTTCCGATGACAACTGTCGATCTTTGAAAGCTGTCTGTTTCAGCACTACATGCTGAGGAAATCTTTCATGAAAAATGCGTCTATCATTACTATTAGTAAATTGAACCATATTGGACAAAAAATAACCACTAAACATATCTTTTATAAGTTATGGATTAATAGCTTACTATATAAGTACTAAGTTGACGACTGTCACTAAATGCTTCAATCGTTTTCCAAGGCAACCCTTCATTATTATTTACTATTCCTCAGTTTAGTGAAATTCATTGGTTTAGATGTTAATGTAATGTTTATTTGTTGTCGTTACATAATTAGTAAAACAATATAAAAAAAATTAGTTCCAAAAGAAACTTTTCTCCATATTCCTTGTGTGGTCCAGGGCTAAGCCATTAATTGGACTTTTTTCTCGAAAACTAAGCAAAATACGAAAAAAAATTCAAGAGACAAAAAAGTTGTACATATTTCTATTTGCTTAATCTAAAGAACATAATAAAAAATTTCCCAAAAGTCAGTGGCGCATATATTTTGTCACAAATATTCATTCAGATCCCGATCGAGACCTGACTGGACTTAATAAATTTAGTCAAGTTAGTGTTAAATTAGCTCCCTAATGTTACGAATACCACCGCCACATTACAGCAAAATCAGGTAAAGGATATTTAACAAATTTACGGAAAACCATTTTTTTAAGTTTAATACCCTGTATCTTGAGAACGAAGAATTTACGGGCCCATGTTTATAGGAACTTTTTGTCTTAAAATTACTCAAATAATCGTAATGTTAAATGTATGATACATACTGAATCAACACTCTACTTTAGACGCAAATTTTAGATTGTACGGGCCTGAAACAGTTTTTACGCTGAAAATAAGAGTGACCCTAGTACATATTAGCTGCAAAACGGTAAAATTTTCTTTGTTCCAGATTCTTTTAGACATAAAGGCGTATTTCATGAAAAAGCCCTCACTTATTGACATCACATTCGGGGATGACGACAAGTTTACTGTATGCGGTGATATCCATGGCCAGTTTTACGATCTCATGCACATATTTGAGCTCAACGGTCTACCTTCAGAAACCAATCCATATCTTTTCAATGGAGACTTCGTGGATCGAGGATCGTTTTCCGTAGAGTGTATATTCACCTTATTTGGCTTCAAGCTACTGTATCCTAATCATTTCTTTATGTCTCGAGGTAAGGTTATAATTTTTTCGCACTTTATCATATCCGTCGTGACTTCTGTAGACGTTGAACTGATATGCGTAAACACAAATATGTAGAAGGGTGATTATACGAATACTGAGTACTTTCAAGTTCCTTATTTATACATGGTGGCCAACGAAAAGGTCGTACTCCCATTTTGACTCTCCAGGTATATTGTGGGAAAAACACTGACACGTCAATTTTGATTTCTATGGAGACGACACAGATCAGGTTTCTTCAAATTTTCTTATCAACTTAGCCACATACTTATCGTTAAAATATTTGTCCGGATGTAACTCATTAAAAAACAGGGCAGTAGCTCTTGCAATGCTCCCATTTTGGTAATACAGTTTTGTTATTTCTGCCCTTTTTTGAATGGAATAAGTCATTGTTAAATTTCTTAATAATGCAGTGTACAGATGACAGTGGTACCTTCTGAAGTTATACTACAACGTGGTGCTGTTGGTGAATCAAAGAACTATAAAACACGTAGTATTATTGGATATGTGGCCCTCGGTGCAATCTGTTTGATATCAGAGGCGGTGAAGTGCTACTATAATGACGACTCGTTAGTCTTGACAATCGCAGCAGTGGAGGAAAATGAGCCGGAGGATGACAGTGCCATTTTTTTCTGCAGCGTAAAAGATATAAACGACGCAGGGTGCATTTTTGTTGATGGAAAAAATTCTAGAATAAAATCCCAACAGCACTCAATCAATTGATGGACCGAGTATGAACAAAGATTGTTCATAATCATGCGAATGCTACTTCAGATACGAGCCCTCACACAAAAATGTTTGGACATTATCTAATTTTATCTAAAAGTTTGTTTATTTTTGTAACGTTAAAAATTAGTAGTTTTTCTTTTAGAAAACAATGAAATATATCGTTTGCACATTATATTAACAAAGCTGTTTTCAAATAATATGATACTGCAATATAATATCAAAGTAATATTGATAACAACGCAACATTTTGCTGACACATAAATGACCAGACACAATATTAAAAAGAAAATAATAGCAGGCCATGGAAACAAGAAAGTGTTTACAATTTGACGTTTTGATTTAAGAATCACTTCTGTGAATCAATTTGGTTTAAAATGTCGCGTGGTAAAGCAACAAACGGTACAATCAGAGTCTTAATCATAAAATTGTTTCATCAAGGAAGTAGTTTTCGGGATATTGCTAAACAAATAAATGTCGCAAAGTCTACGATGACAGATATTGTAAAAAAAGTATGGAGACATAAGTTCAACTCAAGTTTCAAATACTGCTGAACGGTAGTGTACGATTGTCTATGTTTAAAAATAGAGAAAATATACGAGGGTGGTCCGATAAGTACTTAGCCTCACCACCCGATGGTGCCACTATCGCAAGAGTAATTTACCGCGTGTGGAGGAATGGAGAAAAATAAAAACAAGAGCAATATCGGACGGTTCTTGATTTTTGAAGGGAAATTGCGCAGCGAAATCAAAGTGCGATTTGATGCTGCGTACGATGACTCTTACTCTTCGATGGCGACCGTCAAAAATTTGTTTAACGAGCTTTAACGTGGTCGCATGTCGCTTTTTGATGAGCCACGCCCAGGCGCCCCGAAAACGGCTATCACGGAGGATAACGTGACAAAATTCCACGATCTCGTATTGGCAGACCGCCTATTGAAGGTGCGCGAGATAGCTGAGTACAGTAGGCATCTTAAAAGACTGCGTGAGTCATATCCTGCATCGAATATTAGGCATGAGAAAGCTGAAGAAGGGCCCTTAATTGCTGTCATATCAAAATTTAGATGTATCAGATTTGGTCCATACTTTGAGAATGACGGAAGTGCTTCTTTTTCACTGGTGCATTCTGAGCCGATGATTTTGTGTCCGGTCGCAAATAAAAAAATTATTTTTGTAGATAGATCAGGTGATCGATTACATATTTCCTGATATAATATGGGATTTAGGTGCCCATCTTTCACAAATCTAGTTTGACACATTTCAAAAGAAATTCGCTATATTCATTAGATCCACTGCTTCAAAAATGCCTTCTCGTTGGTCAAGATTGTGCCATAGATTTTAAAGATTAATAAATTAGGGCTAAGTGATCCTGATATTATCAGGACTGAAGTCCCACAAGGGACTGTTTTAGGTCCTATACTATTCCTCATATACATATATCAACTTTCATTTAGTATTCGGACATAATCATTGACCAAAATCTAAAATGGAATAATCATGTTAATTACTTTTATAATAAAGTTAGAGAACTCGTATATACACCCATGTTCAAAATAAACGCAAGAAGCAAAATTTTGGTGAAACTCGGAACCTGATAACTTTTTCACTCATGGCTCGATTTTTTTGCAGACGGTAGGTACACTTATTAGCGTTAATTGTGCAGAAAAAATGAAAAAATATTACAAAATTAAGAACTAAAAACTATTAAACGTTAATATTAAAGCTAATAATGTCCAATGCGTCTTTCATTATTTTGGTAGCATTGTTATGGTTTCTGCAAGCCCATTGTTTAAAAAATATTGACATAAACCTTCTTCTTCAAGTAGGTCCAAATGCAAAAGACTAGAATGGTTAAATCGCCGCCTAATAGGACCATTTGTTCCTAGCCAATGATTTCCGAGTCTATCCGTTAAATATCTTGTAACTTCTCTGCTGTTGTGGGCATCCATCAAGAAAATCTAGTATTTCATTTTGCAAAAAGTTAAGATAATCTTTCCCATTTAAGGGTTCATAAAAAATATAGCACCTATGCGGATTCCCAGCACTCCGAGCCACACGTTCACTCCAAAACGGTCCTTAAAGGCCTCTTATCAAACGTTGATTTTCAGTTGCCCAGTAACGGGTATTATCACAGCCGACATCGGCTGTGGTATTATGTAACGATAATGAAAATTTCTATCTTCTTGAAGTTGCGGACGAAACCAGTTACAGTATGCCAATCTTCTTGGAAAATCATTTGCATATAAGTGATGGTGTACCTGATATTTATATGAGCGGAATCCAAGTTTCTTCCAATTCTTCATAGCCAACTCACGATTTACATTTGTTGCTTGTTACAGTTGCATAGTTGCCAGTTGCAAAGTGAACATATTAAATATGTATTTCCGTTTCTTCACTTACTACGAAAGAGTTCTCTTCAACACCATTGACATCCTCATTTCTAAACTTTGCTTCTAACTTGAAAAAGTATGAATAACTTGAATGTCTTCTATTAGCATATTGCTGAGCGTATAACGCACAAGCATTTCTAGAATTTTTTCTGCATTCACCAAATATTAATAGCGTATCAACTTGCTAGCCTCTGATAAAACTCATAGTAAAAAAATACTGTAGGTTTACCTTTTATGGAATAGGAATAAGTAAAAATGAATTTAAGGGAAACGAAGATTGCCAAACATCAAATATAACTAAACAATAATGGGTACACTAAGAATTGACTTTCATTTATTTTCCACAGCGTACTATTTTTTTCAAATAAATGCTATTTGAAAACATCCTAAATTTTCATAGCCTCCTTACTTTCTTGAGGCGATTGGTAGCTCATATGAAATAGTTGTTTTTTACCAAACCGATAGTAGCTTGGAGAACATCATTGGAAATGCGTTTTCATTTAGAGTCAATAATAAAAAAACCTTTTTTTGTTTTGTAATACCTATAGCTTATGCAGGTTAATTCACAAATTCTTTTATGCAGCTGTGCTTGACAACAAAAGTAAAACTTATTATACATCACTGAATAGAGAACTTTAGGTAGAATAAGATTTCTGGTAAAGGTATACAGGGTCCTATTTAAAATCTATCAGAAATCCTTTGTTGAAAATGTGGATTCCTGTTTTTTCTAATAACTATACTAACATGAAAAACAGAGAATTACAAGCGTTCATTTATTTAGACCTTTTTAATAGACATTTGTTGATCACGCCACCTTGACAGTTTAAAGTAGTTTTTTGTCTTGTAAGCATAATGGCGGATTTTAGGTTATTTACAAATTTGTTCATAGCACCGCCATTTTAAAACGAAAATGTCACTTTTGACACATCGTTGGAAAGGGAATTTTGCATAGAGTACGATTATGGAAGAAAATATACAGGTTTCCATTTGAGAAACGAAAGTTAAGGTCACTTCCGGTTAAACCGGACGGGAGAAATAACCCATTCATCTTTCCAGAGATGCCTCTTAATGACTAACTAAATATGTCCCAATCTTGGAGCGATATCTTTATTTGCCAAAAAAATACAGCGTGTTTCCAATTTTCATTGTCACCCGGTATAATACATTTTTCACTTCCACACGAGCGTTCTTTCCTGCCATTGGGTAATACCATTCTTTCCTGCACAAAAGCATCTTGAGATATAGAGAAAAACTATTTTTGAATTACACTTCGACAACCTGTATCACGTTATCAAGCGTCACTTTACTGAAGCATATTGCTTCAATACGATTTGCAAGATTTACATTGATAGTAAAAATAAACTGTTATAATTTATTTCAGGCAATCACGAGAGTGCTACAATGAATCAAATGTATGGTTTTGATGGAGAAGTCAAATCCAAATACACTGCTCAAATGGCCGACCTTTTTACAGAGGTTTACAACTGGCTTCCACTAGCCCACTGTTTAAATAAGAAAGTATTGGTAAGTGACGATAAAACAAATGACTGATGCTAACGTACTAATTGAAAAAGGTGTACAGTGAAATCTCTTTTGGACGGGCACCAACGGGACTGACTGAAAGTGTCAGTTCAAGAGAGATGTCCGCATAAAACAAATACAACAAAAATAGTGTTTTTAATGAAAACTGAATACATTAAAGAAACTGGGACATTCAAAACTTATATGTATATAGGTGTTTTTAAAATAAACAAAAAACGTTGGACTTACCTCTAGATATACAGGGTGTTTTCAAAGTTGAGTAATTTATACTTAGTGACAAAAAAAAGATAAACACCTACGTATGTTATTCGATTTTAATTATTTTTGGCATAAATGTTCAGTGTCACTCACTAGTAAAATGATTCGTCAACTGACTGCAGAAGCTGGTTCAATAATGTGTTGAGAATCCACGATTTCTTATACACTCATTGACACGCTTGGACATTGTGCTGATAAGGTGGTCGATATCCTAGAGGGGTATCTCATTCCAGGCTACTGCAACTTTGTGAGTAAGAGCTGCTAAAGTCTGTGGAGGGTGTTGCAAATTCAAGAGCCTACGACCTATCATGTCCCAGACACGTTCAGTTGGAGATAGGTCAGGCAATCGTGGTGGCCAAGGTAAACGGTTGACGCGATGTTGATCCATGAAGGCTAACGATGCTCTGGCAACATGCGGCCTGGCATTGTCTTGCTGAAAAATTGGGTTTTGGATGGTGTTTAGGTATGGAATAAGATGAGGCTCCACTATTTCCTGAATATAGCGTCGGGCTGTCATATTGCCTCTGATGGAAATTAGTGGTGATCTGCTACCATAAGCAATAGCACCCTTTTCCATAACTCCCACGGTGTGATGAACGTGACGCACTCTGTCAAACTGTGAGTCACGTCTTTCACCACGTCGCCTTCTCACTCTTGCCCGACCATCGTGCATCCCTAGACACTAAAGATCACCTAATTCCATTCCCGCTCCCATAGAACTCTTTCTCTACATCAGAGCAAACGGTTACGCCGAAGTTCAGCTGTGAGAGGTAGCACTCAATGTGGGCGATAAGAAAAAAGGCCAAACTGTCGTATTCGGCGATATACAGGGTCCGCCAAAGGAACCTGATGAGTTTCAATATGAAACTACAAATGTATCTTTCAAGATATTTATTTTCATATATAAGTAATCGAAAGTGTATTACATGCCATTTTATGTATGGAAAATAACTTCGGTCAAATGATGTCCTTCACTGCGGACACACTCTTCCAAACGGTTTCGCACATTCCCCATTACGCGCTGTACCATACTCATCGGAATCGCGCTAATTTCATTGCGAATCTTTTCCTTCAATTATTCAATGGTCCTTGAGCTCGTTAAATATACCTTGCTTTTGAGATAACCCCACAACCAATAGTCACAAGCCGTGAGATCGGGAGACCTTGCCGGCCAAGGAACATCTCCATTCCGCGAAATGACTCTTCCTGGAAACATTTCTCGCAGTCGAACCATTGTTGCTCGTGCTGTATGCGCTGTAGCGCCATCTTGCTGAAACCATACGGTATTTAAATCTATGTTCCGTCGACGAAGCTCTGGTTCCAAAAATGTGGTTAACATTTCCAGATAACGTTGCGAATTGACCGTGACAGAATTTCCAGCATCGTCCTCAAAAAAATAGGGTCCAATTATGCCGAATCGCGACACTCCGCACCAAACAGTAACCTTGCGACTATGAAGGGGTCGCTGGTGAAGTTCTCTCGGGTTTTCTGCACACCAGTAGCTAAAATTCTGCTTATTTACGTAGCCTGATAACTCGAAATGCGCCTCATCAGACATAATTAAGCCACCTAAAGCGTTTTCATCCAAAAGTTCCAGAAGCTGGTGGCTTGTAGTCAAACGGTTCACAAAGTCTTTAGCTGTCAGTTCTTGAACCATCGCTAATTTGTAAGGGTGATAATGTAAATCCTTATGCAAAATACGCCGCACTGTTGTTTCTGAAAGCCTTAGACTAATTGCTTGTAGCCTAGCTGAACGACGTGGACTTTACTGCACCGCTGTTCGCACCCTCTCAATATTGGCTGTAGTCCGAACTGTTCGACGCATTCCTGGTGGCTTAGCTTTCATTGCTGATGCAGATCGACGAAAATTTTTGACCCACAACTTAATTGTGTTACGGCATGGAACAGAACCATGACGTCCGACATTGAAATGTGTACGAAATAGACGCTGTGTAATGATCACCGAGTCGTGATTTTTAAAATACGTCTCGACAACAAATACGCGATGTTCACTTGTCCACAGCTCCATGACTACTGAAATGGCATCTACTACCGATGTCTTGCGAACTGTAACCGATGTTCTACGTCAAAAAACAGCTTCGTACTATCCATTCTGAAAACGTCAGGTTCCTTTGGCGGACCCTGTACCATACGCATACCAACCATCCTTCCATCCTCTTCAAACCACTGATTAGCGATGGTTCGAGTATTACTAAATCTGTATCTCAGAACCAGAAGTCTTAACCGGCGGTCTTGTCGCTCTGTGGTCCTTCTGGGACTTCCAGAACTCCTCGCTCACTGTCCTCGGCCTTCCTGAGCCCACGCTCGTTCACACTGCAGTATAATGAGTAAGGATCTGTTGGTCCTTCTGAGAACTCTTATCGATAGACCGGCTCAAAGTCCCTTAGCTGGGACACCCGGCTAATTCTACGCCCTCTAGGCATTTTGAGCAATCACAAAAAGGCTTCTCAATAAGCTACATGAAATTTAACATTTAACTGACACCGTAAATGAACGAAAACTGAATGCTTCTTTATCACCAAACAATACATGAAGTCACCACAAAAACTTAACAGAAAAACCTGACTATTTTATAACTTGTTGTTCATGGCTAGATAAACCGATATGTAAAAAATTCTTAAGTTCTTATAAACATACGTAGGTGTTTACCTTTTTTTGTCACTCAGTATATTTAAACAGCTTGTAGAACGCTTCAAAAGAAGTTGATATACCAAATATCACCTACATAAAAGTTGCATAATAAGAGAGTTACTTTACATAATTGAAAATTATTTAAAAGAATTATTATTATTATTAAATGGATACCGTTTTTACAAAAACTGTTCAAAATTGTCCCCATTTGTCCGATTAACGCAAAATCTTGCTCTGCGAATCAACGACTCTACAAGCTTCGCAAATACAATCCTGGTGTCCACGAATTAAATCACAAGCATTTTCAGTGCACTGTTGAAGTATTTACTGCTCCATCATGATACACCAATTCTTTCAAATGGCCCCACAAAAAAAATCATAAGGCGTTAAATCCGGGGAGCGAGCAGGCCAAGAAATGGGTCCATTGCGCCCTATCCGTCTATTCGGAAACTCATTATTTAGATGTTCATGTAGGAACCACATATTCTGTCTCACATGTAGAGGAACATCTTCTAATAATTGCGGCAGATTGTGTCGAAGAAAATCTAAATTTCATCAGTCGGTGGAGGTGGAATAATCATGAAATTTACCACGCTAGCCCTAACATTTAATGAAAATCTATGTTAAAAATGAGTTATTTTTATAGCATGCTGATTTTCTACTGCCCAAACATGATTGTTGTGGAAATTGTCCAGTCCATTTCGTTTAAATGAGTCGTCGTCGGTACACAAAATTAATTTCGTATAATATCAATTTCTGCTGAACTGTTCTAAAAGCCACTGGCAAAATGCAATTCTTCTAGGATGATCTTGAGGTTGTATCGCTTGTATATATTGATAATGATATGGATAATCCTGTTCTTGTCGTATTGTCTTCCACACTGGGTCGTCTTCGACCATTTCTAAAATACCTTCCTCAATTTGAAACATTTCAGGTTGAGCAGGTCTTCCAGCGTGACGTCTTCGTTGCTCTTTAAATATCCTGTGTCACGAAGCTAATAACTAAATTTACAAACATCCGTGGAGCCGGATGATTTCTTAAAGGAAACCTTCCCGCATACAACCTACATGTTGTGGCTGCATTTTGTTGGCGCTCCCCGTATGTTAGTTTATGTCCACTAGTTCATTGTTTTCGTAAACATGGGCCATTTTTTCGCACAAAATAATTAGACAAATGAAAGCATACGCACTGTTAAAATACATACATACAATTGAGCGAACCAAAAACTCGTACTAAAAACCATACAATAACACAAAAAGTTTGCCAAATTTAGATAACAGTAGTAAACAAAAAAAGCTAAGATTTTACTCGGCAGTGGTCGAGCCATCAAAAAATATGTCTAATTAAACATGCTTATTTTTTAAATGCTTTAATCTTTTACTATTTCTTTTATTATGCAACTTTTATATAGGTGATTTTTGGTATATCAACTTCTTTTGACGAGTCCTACAAGCAGTTCAAATAAATGACTCCACTTTGAAAACACCCTGTATATCTAGGACTGAAATTCATAAGCTCATAAATACGAACATCAAGTAAATACATAATATAATGTGACTAGTTGTTGTACTTTTTTGTAATTTGGCAATGCCTCCTATTTGGCCTGTTTTTATTCTATATTTATTTACTCATGTCTCTTTGTATATTGAGTGAATAAATATTATTTCGTATGACATCATTACGTAGCAGCCAAAAACCGTGACCTGCCTCGGTGCATGGCCATCTATGAACGAATCACCTAACCAAGGTCGATTCCCTCGTAGACTGTAAGCAGTGTTTTGGTTGTAAATCAGAAATGCAAGTCAAATCCAAGGTCAATCAAGTCGAAGACATTTCATGCAGTGTCTTCTCTTGGTGTAAATATTCTTCACCTTTCTTTTGTAGAGTGGCCAACTAAGAATGTTAGGTACTGTATCTGGGAACCTATCCATCTTGCTTGCGGCAAAACAGTTATTTCTAAAATGGCCAAGAGAAAAACCTGGAAAATATTTTCAATTTTCTGAAATGGCCGCTAGGAGGCGTAACTGCAATCTTGATTCTATAAAAGTATTTTTCTGCGATTTCTGCTATATTAACCTAAACCTAACAAAAATAATACCCGATCTTTAAGCTCGAGGATAATCTGAACCTTTTTTGTTTAACAATGTTTGCTGTATTTGTAAAAATAAACTGGTGAGGTGTATTCAAAGGTTTCCGTAAAAAACATCCTGTATCTTCGAAACGGCTGAACCGATTTCAACAAACTTGGGCTAGCTGAAAAGAGCTTTTTTTGGCTAAAAATGTTATAATATTTGATGTTTTGTTAGTTGCACATGTGGCCGCTGGAGTCGACATTCCGACAAATGGTTAATTTTCTCAAAAAAATTTATGCATTGGTTTGATTTTTCATGAATAAGTCTCTAAACGATGTCTAAACAAGCTCGCGAAAACCGCATCTCGATATCTTGTTCGTAACCTAATTTAGACCAAAGAAAGTTTTATACTGAAATCCCTTAAATTTTTATATATTCAAACTAATTTTTCTCGAAACTTTTTTATTCATCAGAATAAAATTAAATAAGTAATGCTAATAACAAAAGGCACACTTTTTCTATAAATGCATATTCACTATGGGTATATACGAAAAAGACAATGGAATACAACAAAACAAATACCTAATCAAAACATAAATAATTCTCAAATTTTCAATAGTTGTCAATAGTTTGGCTTTACTTTGAGCAATTTTTGTACTTACAAAATGCGATTTAGGAATGATAAAGCTGTTGATATTCTTGCAGTTTATTTTTAATATATTCGGAATGCCGCAGTAGCAAAAAAGGTTTACGCGTCTCGATATCCAAATCGGCGTCTTTGCGATGCGAGAGTTTTCCCCGATTAGTGACGAGCTTACGAGCCAATGGTGGTTTTTGACATACGTTTCACAGGCAAAGAATTGGAATAACACAAGAAAATATTAACCGCGTACTGAGATATGTTGAAGGAAATCCTCATTTTAGCACAAGGGCATTAATCCCTCGAGTTGGGCATATCACGAACAACGGTTCAAAATATTTTGAAGCACCATAGGTAAGTTCTAATGGCTATCAAAATATAGGGATTTATTTAAATTGAACTTTCTTAATTACTTTTAGAATCCACCCTTATCATGCCATTTTGCATCGGGCCTTGAAAGAGGAAGACTTTGATCGGAGGTTGAACTTTTGTCATTGAATGTCAGGCATGATACGCGAAATAGAGAATTTTTATTTCTTTGAACAGATGAAACCACCTTTAATAGTTAAATGGCAATGTCTTTCTTGACTTTTTGAATAACCAATTACTGTTGTTAGAAGATGTGCCACTAGAAACACAGCAAAACTTGTTTTTGCAGTTGGATGGTTGCCCAGCATATTTTGCTATTATTATGAGAGAGTATATTAATGCAGTATTTCAACAGCGGTGGATTGGAAGAGAAAGTCTTTTTCCATGGCCTTCGCGACCACTTGAAAACAGGATTCCTAATGCAATACGTAAAATACGGAAAGCCGAAATTGAAACTGCAATTTTGTCTACCCATGACTGGCTTCAGAAATGCATATATAACGTGATTTCGAGCATCTACTGCGGCATTGAAAACCTTTCTTTTTTAAATTGGTCCTTTTCAGGGCCACAACTGTATAATAAAAAGTAATTCCAGAAAAAAATTCAAAAACAGTTAAAATAAAAGGCCCTCTAGCGACCACATGTAAAACTAACAAAAATTCAAATATACTAAGTGACATATAAATCCGAACACCCAGTTTAAATGGTTTTATTTTTAATAAAATTTTGTATAAGTACTTAATGAAGCATAATAAGTAAATGATAAAAATTTCAAAATAATTGCACTGCTTTGAAGCCCTTTGACCTTTAATAATGTGTGGATGCACCCTGATGTGCTACGCATTCTCCAAGGCGCCTAGGCATGCTTCTAATCAGGTGGCCAATGTCCTCCTGTAGTATCTCATTTCAGGCAACCACCAACTCCTCTCGAAGTGCTTCTAGAGTCTGATGAGGACGTTGCAAATTGAGCAATCTCCTACCCATCATATCCCACACGTGCTCAATTGGGGATAAGTCGGGAGATCTTGGTGGCCATGGTAACAATGTGACATCATTATGTTGAAAGAAGTCTATTGTGACTCTTGCAACATGTGGTAGGGCATTATCTTGTTGGAAAGTTGGATCTGCCAGGGTGTCAAGATAGGGTAAAAGATGGGGTTCTAGAACTTCATGGATATAACGCTGCGCGTTCATGTTACCTCTGATGAAGATTAAAGGTGACCTGGAACCATAAGCTATAGCACCCCAAACCATAACTCCAACAGTGTGATGAACATGTCTTTCAACAAAAAACTGTGGATTCCTCCTTTCACCACGTCGCCTTCTAACCCTGGCACGACCATCGTGCATGCCTAAACAAAATCGAGACGCGTCACTAAAGACAATACTGTTCCATTCCTGATCCCAGAGTGACCGTTGTCTGCACCACTCAAGGCGGATTACGTCGGTGTTCTCGAGTTAAAGGGAGGACCCAGTGTGGCCGGTATGAAAACAAGCCAAAACTTCTCATTCGTCGGTAAACACTTCGCATGCCAATAGGTCTTCCGTGTTCTGCAAACCATTCATTTGCAATGGACCTGGTAGTGGAGAAACGGTCCCTTAAGGCCAATAATCTTAGGCGGCGATCTTCACGGTCTGTTGTTCTACGGCGGCGTCCAGTGCCCCTTGCTCTTTGCGTACGGCCTTCTCGAAGCCATGCCTGACAACACCTAACCACAGTGTCTACACTTCTTTGCACTCTAACTGCAATTGCCCGAAAAGAAAGTCCAGCTTCCCGAAGCAGCAAACATTGTCAAACATAATAAGGTTCAGATTATCCTCGAATTCGAAGATCAGATATTTTTTGTTAGGTTAATATAGCGGAATTCACAGCAACATCACCCTTTTGATTGAAGGTTGCAGTTACGCTCTCTAGCGGTCATTTCAGAAACTTGAAAATATTTTCCAGGTTTTCCTCTTAGCCGTTTTAGTAATAACTGTTTTTCTCGCAAGCCTCTACGATGGATAGGTTCCCAGATACATTTCCTCGCATTCTTAGTTGGCCACCCTGTACACACAGTATAGGAGACTTTCACTTATCTCGCACCTGACCAGCGTACATCCTAAATTACCTTTATTCATTTTGCAAGGTGATGCATGGCGGTTTGTTTACGCGAGACGACGTGACGTTAGACGAGATTTGCAAGCTGGACCGAAACAGGCAACCACCTGAGGAGGGTCCGATGTGCGAGCTGCTATGGTCGGACCCTCAACCGCAGCCGGGGCGGGCCCCCAGCAAACGAGGAGTCGGCTGCCAGTTTGGACCTGATGTCACCAAGCGGTTCCTAGAATTGAACAACCTGGATTACATTATCCGAAGCCACGAGGTAAAACAGGAAGGATATGAGGTGGCACACGATGGCAAGTGCATCACCGTTTTCTCAGCGCCTAATTATTGGTGAGTACATATCAGTTGCATTGTATATGGTGGGCCATACTGATTAATATACGAGGTTTGTCCGGAAATTACGTATAAACAATGGAGAAGTTTCGTGATATTCACAATCGCATAAGTAATGACATACCAGCAGAATATAGACTAAATATAATCCGCCAGTGAAAAAATTATTGAAATCGGCCAATAATGACAGAGAAATTGATACTTAGATTTGGCGGATTATAGCGCGAAATCATTGCTGTCGTTCGTTCGCGTCTGACGTCACACTTCTCTAGTGCCCAGCGTCTTGTTTCGTAGGTATTCGACAGCGTCTGTGCGTTTAGTCATTAGTCTATAGACAATTCATAAGGCACACCTGAGCGCTTGGACACGTAGTTTCCAGTTGATAACTATTGAGTACTGCGTAAGTTCATACCATTATGGACGCCGCATGTGAAGGTACGTAGAAAAAATGTTTATTAGGGGTTGTAATTGTTGTGCTCATACATTTTGGAACGGTACAGTATTTATAACAACCTTTTTTTCTTATTTCGCTCATAACCGATCGTATATGCAGTCATCTAATTAAATTGGGGCGGAAGACGTTTAGCCTACCATGTGCCCCGCTGTATGTGTGTCTATGCATGTGTTTAGGATATTGAGTCGGCTCGGGCCCAGGAATCGGCCGCGGATACTGAAGTGTGACGTCACACGAAACGTACAGACGGAATAAGCTAAACTAGTCCATTCGGGGCGTCATTTCAAGGCATTGTGGACGGGTGGACCGGTGGTTCCCTCTCTCTATGCTCAGTTCGAGCCGGAGCGCTGTGCGAGTAAGTAGGATTTACGTGTCCTAGTTGAAAGTAACCCAAGAACGGTCGTGAGATTTTTGAGTGTTTGGAACAGGTTTCGGCGACAATTCTCTGAAGGAGCCAACCGTGAAGAAGTGGTTGAAAAGGTTTCGGGAATACCGAGAAGTGAAAGATGACCAACGCTCAGGACGCCCCTCCATATCGAGCTCTGAGGGAAATGTTGAACAAATTCGGGGCTGTATTCTTAACCCTTTCGCGTCGGGAGCCGGTTATATCCGAAAAACAAAGTAGTGTCTGGTATACGGGAAACGTATATTTACGCAGCGACAGAGGGGAAACGTGTTGAGCAGCATATGTCGGTATTTGTTTGTAGCAAAAACTATGCATACAAGCGAAAATTTTCGGTGATGGGGGAACAGGCATGCAGAGAATTGTCGCACAGGTGGCACCATCAAGACAGGTTGGAGCACGTTTATTTGACCATAATTCTTCGAACGCGAGTGCTGATACTTTAGATCTGGTGAAACGAGGGCGACCAAGTAAAAAAAAATAAAGGAAAAAGTACTCACTCTCCAGTTGACGAGAAGGGCTAAGTACGAAAATGAAATCAGCCGATGCGCTACCGAGCAGACGCAGAAACCACATTGATTGTCTTACACTTACACTTCTAACAAGAAAGGCAAAATGTTGCGTAAAAAGTCTAGGTTTTGCATCCCGTCCAATCGATTTGGGAGAATAAATGGTCCAATGAGCATACCGTTCACCATGCCAGGCCAAACATTCACCGAAAATGTTTGTTGAAAATGTGCCCGACGGACAGCGTGCGGATTTTCTACTGACCAAACATGAGTGTTGCGAAAGTTATTCACCCCATTACGCGTGAACGTAGATTCGTCTATCACCAATATGTACTTCAAAAAGTCCAGATTATTGTCATGTTGATGCAACAACCACTCACAAAACCGCACTCTTGCTGGAAAATCGTCAGGTTGAAGGGCTTGTGCACGTTGGACGTGAAACGGATACAGCCCCTCTTCACGCAGCGTTTGCCACACTTTAGTTTTTGATACTTGCACTTCTCTAGCCACGTCTCTAGTGCTTGTTGAGGGATTATCGTCTACGCGATTATCTCTACACGCGTGACCGTAACCGTCGGTTGAAGGTTGCATACTGACCTGACACACTGACCCCGACCCAGTTCTGTCGTCGGGTTGAGCCAGTGACCTTGTACCAGTCGGTGATGTCGCGGCTACAGGACCGTATTCAGATATTTTTGATGTTGCAGAGCCCTTTATCTCGGTTCCCTTAAGACATTGGTGTATATGGTACTAAGAAAAATTGCTTATGTTTTCAAGATCTACACGTCGTGTAAAGGAAAACCCCAACTTTGCGGACACCCTGTATTTATCTTATATTATACAGGGTGTTCCATAATGATATGTGAATATTTAAGCATGTGAATCAACATGAAAAATTAATGTTAGTTTGCTTTATAAACTATGGTCCAAAAATGTTTCCTTACAAAAACTCGGGGTGTTGAAATTTTAGGGAAAAATGGAAATTAATTAATATTTTCAGAACCGCTTCAGATATTTCACTGATATTTAGTACGTAGTGAAAGTTAATAAATTTGCATATTTTTCAATGCTAAAATAATGTTTAGCTTCAACAGTGGCGTGCGTACGGGTATTGACTTCGATATTTTTTAAGAACAAAAAACGCTGCGCCAATGGTTTTTTGCCAAATAAAAATTATTTTTGAATTTGAATTAATTGGAAAAACTAAACACATTAGGAGTAATGAACAACTGACAACATAAACAACCAACGAAATGATTACAAAAATTGTTAAAAATGGACTCCTTCACTTAGTATGCATGCTTCCGCCCTCCTTCACATGGAATTGCGCACTCGTTGAAATATCCCTGGAGTGTTTTTTATTCTATCACAAGCTGCAACTATTCTTTCTCTTAATTCCTTTACAGTGTTAATGGGACTTGTGTACCCTAGTGTCTTAAGATAGCTCCACAAAAAGAAATCTAAACTGTTGAGGTCTGGGGACCTTGGTGGCCAGTCTTGGAGCCTACCGCGGCCAATCCAACGATTTGGATAAACAGTTTGTAAATAATTAGGAACCGCTACACTGAAATGCGCTGCTGCACCATCATGCATGTACCAAATATTGTTTCTTATTACTAACCGAACATCATCAAGCAGCAAAGGCAACTGTTGTTGAAGAAAATTCAGGTAAATCTGACGGTCAAATCGTCCCGGCAAGAAGAATGGGCCAATAAAGTGGTTGCCAATAATTCCTGCCCATACGTTAACCGAAAATTGGTGTTGGAAATGCGTTTCGGTTTCGGCATAGGAATTTTCTTCTGCCCACAAATGATTATTGTGGAAATTCTGAATGGCATTTCGAGAAAAATTAGCTTCGTCCGTGAACAGAATCATTGATTCAAATTGTGGATTTTGAGTAATTTTTTGAAGATACCACTGACAAAGGTAACAGAGACTTGTCAGATGTCAAAAGCCAGTGACATATTCCAGAGCAACTAGATATTTGCTGCTAAATTGTATTATTCGATTATTACATTAATTTTCTCGGACAATAGAACGGTTTTTATTTTTTTACTCAAAAATGGCGCATCGAAGGAGAGAGATCCTTTGTTTTAAATTGAACGGGGAATTCAAAAATACTTTTTATTTAGCAAAAAACTATTGGCGTACCAATTTTTTCTTAAAAAATATACAGGGTGTCCGCAAAGTTGGGGTTTTCCCTTACACGACGTGTAGATTTGACAACCAATGTCTTAAGGCAACCTAGATAAAGGGCTCTGCAACATCAAAAATATCTGAATACCGTCCTGTAGCCGCGACCCGCCGCGATATCCCCGACTGTTACAAGGTCTCAACCCGACGGCAGAACTGGGTCGGGGTCAGTGTGTCACGTTAGTATGCAACCTTCAACCGAAGGTTACGGTCACGCGTGTAGAGGTAAACGAACTCGTATAATCAATTGCGTTTCAAAAAACAACAAGCACTAGAGACGTGGCTAGAGAAGTGCAAGTATCAAAAACTAAAGTGTGGCAAACGCTGCGTGAAGAGGGGCTGTATCCGTTTCACGTCCAACGTGTACAAGCCCTTCAACCTGACAATTTTCCAGCAAGAGTGCGGTTTTGTGAGTGGTTGTTGCATCAACATGACAATAATCCGGACTTTTTGAAGTGCATATTGGTGACAGACGAATCTACGTTCACGCGTAATGGGGTGAATAACTTTCGCAACACTCATGTTTGGTCATTTTCAACAAACATTTTCGGTGAATGTTTGGGCTGGCATGGTGAACGGTATGCTCATTGGACCATTTATTCTCCCAAATCGATTGGACGGGATGCAATACCTAGACTTTTCACGCAACATTTTGCCTTCCTTGTTAGAAGATGTGCCATTAAGTGTAAGACAATCAATGTGGTTTCTGCGTCTGCTCGGTAGCGCTTCAGCTGATTTCATTTTCTGTTGGAGCGGTATGATTTCGGGCAGAGACGTACTTAGCCCTTCTCGTCAACTGGAGAGTGAGTACTTTTTCCTTTATTTTTTTTTTTACTTGGTCGCCCTCGTTTCACTACACATTACCTTTGTTATTTCAAGGGTAGTTGTTTCTGAAAAGGAAAACCCCAACTTTGCGGACACCCTGTATAAGTCAATACCCGTACGCACGCCACTGTTAAAGCTGAACATTATTTTTGCATTGAAAAATATGCAGCTTTATTAACTTTAACTACGTACTAAATATCAGTGAAATATCTGAAGCGGTTCTGAGAATATTAATTAATTTCCATTTTTTTTCCTAAAACTTCAACGCCCCGAGTTTTTGTTAGGAAACATTTTTGGACTATAGTTTATGAAGCAAACTAATATTAATTTTTCTTGTAGATTCACACCCTTAAATATTCGCATATCATTAAGGAACACCCTGTATATATTAACAGATCAATAGTAGTTGGAAATATTACATAATAGCGATTCTAAGGGCGATTTCGATGGCGACGCCGAGGAATGGGAAAATATCCGATCAAGAAGTTCTAAACGATTGTTGAACAAACTAAAACAGGGTCTTCTATGTAACATTTTTTGCTCGAGGGCTTCATTAAAAAGATACGGGGTGTTGAAGTTTAAAAATAAAAAACATTTGTTTGATATTTTCAAA